CCTCGGTGTCATGGAGAGAGAAGCCGCAAGAAGCAGTCAATTGAGAGAGCTATCTTTATTTGATCTCCCAAATTTGACATACATATGGAACAATGAGGATTCGCTGAATCTTTGCTTTCATAACCTGACTTCTATTAGAGTTGAAAAGTGCCCGCGTCTGAGAAACCCTTGTACAATGTCTATGGAAAAAAGTCTGGGACAACTCAAATCTCTGGGTCTAGGTGGTTGTGAAGAGATGGAGTACATTGTTGCAAGAGAACAGGAGAAACCTGAAGAATCAGCCGAGGAATTGAAATTCCTCGACTAGTTACTCTGTATCTTCACAACATGCTAAAATTCAGAATTTTCTGCCATGGGAAGCATATTTCAGATTGTCCCTCCTTGAAAGAGTTACTGTGTAAAGCTGGGGAGGTGATTGCAGGAGATGCTAGTTATAGAAACCTCGACGGCAGCATTCCAATTCAGCAACCGATTTTGCTGGTCAAAAGGTTTGCACTCATTCTTCTTTAACGGCATATCTAGTTTCTTGTCCCTCAAGGTTTGACCTAGACAGTGCAAAGGTCGGTGGGGTGACTTCTGCTAACTTATTATTTTCTATTACAAATGTTTGACTTTTATTTGACAGGAAACATCTCAAAGCTACTTCTTCAATATAAACATATTGACACGTATATAAAAACTTATCGTAAGTTTCAAAAGTTTAATATATTTTTCTTTCATTTTCAAATTTTAGACTAGTGTAACATTTCACTAATACTGTGACTGAAGTACAAATATCAGCTCCAATTAACATTTTTAAGTAAGTTCTGCAAGTTGTTGTCAAGTTCATAAACAGTCTTCCCATCAATCGAAATTTGAGGTTTCCAGGGAAGTTTTAAGTAGGTTCTGCAAGTTGAGAAATTGTTTGAGCCATTCTATTGATAGACAGTGATATACTAATAAATATATCGTAGATATTCATGCCAATTGATCAAGCAAGTCATCCATTTCCATGATTGGCTCCACCTAATTTATCCCCAGGTCAGATCCACAAGAGGAAACAGCAAATAGTGAAGGCTGTAAACGGTGATCAATTGAAGTACCTGAGCTTCCATCTAGCCAAAATGTAAGTCTCATCATCACCCTGTGGATATAGGTAAAGCAGCAGGAAGTAAAAACCCGGGTTCAGAACAATGATGAAACAAATCTGAAGAATCTAATACTAATTATTTTAGCATTATGCATATGAGCCAGTAATTGAAACAAGTTCACTAGTTTCACACGTGTCGTAAGACAGACTTGACCTCATTGAGCATTTGCAAGTTCCAAACAGATGCTAGCAAGCAATGACATGTCCTAAGATTCAATGAGAAAGAATTATGAAAGAACTATATCTATTGTACTTAAATGAAACTCGGCAATCTCTTTTTTTCCTTAATTCATGGTCAATTTGTCATTGATGGGTACAATTTTCTACAGCTTGTGTGTGTATGTGCCTGCATGCAAAATTATAGTGGCACACATGCGCATATGCAAGATCCCGCAGATCGGAAGGGAAGCCCTAGCACTGGGTATCCATTAAGCCTAATGCTAGAATTACCGGTGGCCATCCCTCAATTCTACCATCGGCACTCATGGTAACAGAAATACCAAGTTCGACCGGAAAGTGGGTGGGTTGATGAAGATAATCTAGTTATGTCTATCACTGAACCAGATTTGAACTTACAAAGAGTTACTACCTTTTGTATACTGTGTAATATTATCGATGGATGCTCAAAGAAAGGAACAAGTAATTTCAAGTTGCGCTCATACAGACCCTTACCTGAACAGCCAAACACCGAGGAATTAGTTGATTCTCATGAGGATGTGTGCTTTATTGTATGCACATATATTAATGATTAATAATAGCTCAGTTCCTTCAGAAGGCTAATCACATGGAGGACAAAAAAAAAATTGCATTCAGTTGTTTGGACAAGCAACAATAAACTTCGGAAATGTACTATGATATGATAAAGCCATACTAGACTGCAAGTAGCTTGAAGGCTATGAATGCTACAGACATAAAATATATGAACAAAATCTAGTCATGTTCATTTGCATCTAATTTCGAAGAAAAGATGTTGTCTACAGAAACAGAAAACCACAAGACTAGTAAACATGAGCACTTCTCTTCTGGCACCAGAGTATCAAACTTTTTGTGAATACTTACTTGGGAACGATTGATAGACTCATCCAGAGAAGATTAGTGCATCAGATGTGCTTTAATAAGCACATCAATCAACACAGGTTCTACAAAGGACCAAAAAAAGCAACAGTACTGGCTTGGACAGGATGGGATGGCTTTTTTGGTTGGGATGACCAGGGAGACTCTAAATTCATGACATTGAAGACCAAAATTAGAAACCAGCCAAGTCACCAAGCAGAATAGAACCAATGAAATCCCCATACAAGAGAGGATGAAAATGTCGAGTTGAAAGTATTTTATCAATGTAAGAAACTCTAGGAAAGGATCATCCTAACCAGCTGGGAGTAAACCACAGAACCAAAATTTTAGGGCTCCGTCATACCAATTCTTCAGATAAAAAATTTCCACATTTGAATATCACTAGATAATTCGACAAGGAAAATATGAGCATTCGGCATGTAAACAAGAGAAACTGCAGCACACAGGATTCTTCTCTTACCCCGGAATCTAATTGTTGGATCTTCGAAAATGCAATCTTCAGCGAAAATAGCAGAAGTAAAAACTCCTGTTTTGAGCAAAGAGGTCACCATAAATAAAAGCACGACTATGTAGTGCTTTTGGGCACTGCAAGAATGAGTTTTATCATCCTGTCTTAAACTCAGAACATTTTAACATCAGTTCCCTAGGGTGCCAAGAAACAATGAGCACGGGCCTAGATTGATGATGGGTTTTTAAATTTAAAGACAATTCCTGTAAATCTCTTCTTCAGATTCTTTGCAATAAATTTTCCCAATCTATACACACAAGCATTAACCTCCTCTCGTGAAAATAATTAACTCATTTCAGATTATTAGTAATCCATCAATTAAGCAAGTTTGATATTGGCTGGAGCATAGTCAGACCATTTTGTTTGTTGCCAGTAAGCATACAGAGTAAAGGAAGGAGGTCGATGTACCTGTGACAAAGTGAGCCTTCTCATAATCAGACGTGAGGATCACCACGACGTCATCGACACTGGAAGCAGGAACCCCATCTTGCTCGTCGGCACTCACACTCTCCAAACTGCAGAAAGTCAAAAACACAATCAGAAGAGCAAAATCAGCAATCGAGAAGCATCCTTACCATCTCTCCATCAATTCGTCACTCGGAAATTCCCTCTCCAAAACTCATACACGTCCATCGCGACGCTGGTTCCAGAGCCAAGAGAAACCGAATCACCTGTCGTCCTTTCACAGGAGACAGAACCCTGAGAATCTCCGTGACTCCGCTCACGGCGAGCTTGATCAATTTCGGTGAGGCACCGTTGCTTCCTTCCTCGGCGGTCGATTTCATAGCGCGACAGCATCGCCGGCGACGAGCATTCTGAGAGTGAACAGCGTCGACGGCTCAGAGAGAGGAACAGGACAACAAGAAAGAAATAAAAGCGATCTCCGCAGATCGAGAGATCGGAGCTCGAAGAGAACGCGGCGGGGGAAGTGAGAAGCTTGGAGAGTCACCGTCGTCGAGCGCAGAGTGATCGGAGAAGGCCTCGCGACGCAGGCGATTCCCGCCATTTCTGGTCCGGAGGTTTGAAGATGAAATGAGCTTCTTCCAAAGATTCGATACACACGAAGACGGCTCTAATGGGCCGAGGAGCGACGCTATTAATGGGCCTGACTCGTATAAGCCCAAAGAAAGTTGGCCTCGTAGAGAGTCAATGCGGGGGCCCATCTGAACGTCACGACACTTTGGGCTCGCGTGACTAGGCCCAAAATAAGAATTGGCCTCTCTTCTTCTTCTAATCAATCGGTTCGGTGTATCCCTCGATGAGTTTGTATTTTGCCTTTGGCCTTGATTTCGTTTTTTTTTTTTGGTGGATTAATCAATTGAAGGCAACGTGTGCTCAAATCTAAATAATATGGAATCATGGGAATTTATCCATCTCTAGTTATTACGCAAAGACCTAAATTTTCACGCGTAAATACTAGTGTGGTTCAAGTTTATCTTTGACGCCGTGGGAAAGTTAAAATTTTAACCGGAGGTGTTGCTCGTCAATCGCAACAAAAACAATGATATTTTTTCGACAAAAAAAAAAACATTGATATTCACGTACGATAGTTTACCAATGAACAAAAAATTAATGTCTAGAGCCTAATTTGCATACATACGTGTCGGATTCTAAATTACTCAGGCAACTTCATGTGATTAATCGGGTCGATCAATCTCTTTAATTGCCTAACATCTATGGCAAAAAAAAAAAAATCACTCAACATCTATACCTATGTAAATATGTTATAGCAGGGTTTTCCCTAAGTGTTGTCTTCTATGTGTGCGGCCGAAGGATTGCATATGATTAAAATGGCCCTCTACTCGTTGTACAAAAAGGTTTTGCTTCTTGCTCTGTAAAATTGCAGCTAACCAGCAAAACTTAATCATCTACTAAATTGCTGAGTTGAATACTGACTTTACATTTACAAAACTGTAGCAGCTTACTACAATTTCTAGAGAACCGTCTCGCCTAGTTTTCAAGTGCTGCAATTTCAAACATGCATTACCAAACATACAAGTTAGAAAAGCCTCCCGACACACCCAGTATCAACTAAAATTTTCTAACGTGAGGCTGTTTAGTGCAGTTTTCTCTAATTGTGGATAAGGATGTTGCAATCTTGAGAAAGCATTCTGTAAACCTCAATGCTGCAACACTTTCAAAGGTGGTAGCAGCTTCTGATTCAGCCACAGGTATACCAAACGGGCGCGAAACCATACAAATCTCCTCCTCTGATTCACACCCCTCCTAACTCTGAATTTAAATTAGTCCCATGACAAATTTTTCTTTACTCCAGCAAATTCCTCTCAGTTTGGTAAATTTGAATTCATTGAAAGCAACACTAAACCTCACGGATTTGTGATTCTAAACACACAGGTGAATGGCCTAAACAAGACAACATTCACATTTCTGGTGGTGTGGATGTGGAATTCAAGCCAATGAGGTACACCTATTTCATACCCAAACTTCTGATTCTTTCAATCTAAACCGGTAACAGAGAAAATCATCACTCAAGACTCAACCACACATGAAACATATCAGTTGAAAAGTCTCTCTGCTCATGCATATACTCTGCAACACCAACTTCAGCTAATCACAGATGCTTCATACATACCTCAACTCCACAAGATCACATCCTCCTTCTCTTGATATATCACAAACAACACAACAAGAACAACCCCCCATGGCAGACTTTCTTTCGTGGGCATTAGCAAGAACATCGAAACTCACAAAATCAAGCTGATGATGATGATGATTCTTCCTCTTCGATGGCCTTCTTAGCAGTCTCGAGATCCTCATCGAAGAACATGTCCCAGTGGCCATCCCACTTGATGAAGAACTCCGTGTCCTCGTGATACTGGACCCTGTGCACATCCCCGCGGGGCGTGAACAAGTAATCCCCGACCACCAAGTCGTACCTCTCCTTCTTGCTCAAGTTCCACACGGTCTTCCTGCCTTCCAGCACCACCAGATCGTGCCCGAACGTGTGGTGGTGCGCCGGCTCGACGCTCCCGGCCTTGAACCTCACGATCGCCGATGTGGGTGTCTCCCGGATTATCTTCATCGACCCCCCCGGGATCATGTCGATGGGATTCAGCTCCCGGCGCTTCGCCAGGCAACAGATCGCGCAGGAGGCGGAATCGTCCGGCTCCGAGGCCGGCGGCGCGCCGATCTTGGGCGTTTCGATCAGGGCTCGGTCCAGGAACTCCTGGAGGTCGTCGCTCCAGGGCTGGTCGCCGGAGGCGGGGCAGGGGGACTTGAAGGGTGTGTCCAGCCAGGCGCGGAGGATCTCCACGGCGGAGCCCGGCGGCGTGGAAAGGGCGGAGACGGCGAGGATGTTGGAGTTGTTGATGGACCGGGCGTTGACGGCGTCGGCGACGGAGAGGCAGGTCGCCGCGAACGCGCCGGGGAACTTGTTGGCGAAGATGGAGACACCGGAGCCGGTGCCGCAGGCGACGAGGCCCCGGGTCCCGGATCCTCCTCCTCCGCCGGAGGAGACGCGGCGGCCGACGTCGGCGGCGACGGAGTAGTACGGGCCGGTGCCGAGGTCCTCCACCTCGATGTGCAGGGTGTCCCGGAGGTGGGAGACGAGGGCGTCCTTGAGCGGAGCGCCGAAAGGGTCGGCCGCCGCGACGATTTTGGTGGGGCGGGCGGCGGAGGGATCGGCCATCGGCGGCGGCGGTGGATGGCGGCGAGGGGGTGGGAGTGGAAGGGGTTGCTAGTGTATCATCAAGAATATAATGTGAAAAACAGGTCCAGGTACATCCGGGGACGCGGTGGGCGAACAGCCTGGACTGTTCCTAGTTTTGTCCGTAAGCAATAATATACTAATGATAGGACTGCAGAGGTGCGGTGGAAATTGAGATGAACAGTTTTGTGATGGTATTTTTCTAGCCTTTTTGGCCAATTCAATCCCATGCTTCCAGGCGAAAATATAACGATAAGAATATCAACATTTGTATCGATCGGGCGTTCTAAGTTTCGAGACTTCAGTTTCGTAAATTTGGGTACTGAAATGCGTAAATTCCACGCATTCGAGTCCCTTCTGTGAATTCCGTCACGTTCTAACTAGACGGGCGGTGGGATATAGTTTACTGGAGGAGGAGCGCGTGGAATATGGATTTTAGTAAGTGCTCCTCCCGCGCTCTTGGGGGAGGTCCAAACCTCACGCTCTTCACGGATGATTCTTAGCCTGTACATAAAGAATTCCCACTTGACTTACAAGCCAACTATCTCTGAAATGATGCAGAGATGTTTACGACGGATTCTTATGCACAAGCTTTAGTGGATTCTAGACACATCCACTTATGCCCAAGTACTAGATTGTTTTTTTAGGGCTTTTCAGGAATTTTCAAGATAAGAATAACATTTGTATGACTTTAATTTGAGAGTTATAAATTTTTTTTCACTTACTTAAGTGTCACATCGGAGTAGAATCGACCATTTAAGTATCATTTCCGTCAAATCGTCTCACGTAGATTTTTTTTATAATTGTTTATATTTATTTTCCTTTTTTCTTTACTCTTTTTTTTTTGTGCCGATGAGGGTCGCCGACCCTCACCGGCTGCAAAGGCCTCGCCCTCAACCAACGGGGCTATGAAGGTCCTAAGTGAGGCCATCATGGCCCCATCGACCATGGGCGAGGCAGCCCTAGCACGAAGGCCGACGAGGCTACGAAGGCCTTCGCCAGCAACCAACCAAGCCAAGAAGGCCTCCCCTAGGGGCATTGCGGCCTCGCTAGCCGCTGGCAAGGGTGCGAAGGCCCACGCCGGATCTGGGCAAGGCCGCCTGGCCCGCGGCTAACGAGGCCACGAAGGTCCTTGCCCGCAACCGACAAGGCCACAATGGCCTCACCCAAGGCCTTCGCGGCCCCACAGGCCGCGGGCGAGGCCTTTGTGGCCAACGAGGGTCGTCGGTTACCCTCGCAGGCACAAAAAGAAAAAAAACAGAGAAAAAAAAAGAAGCAAAATAAAAAATCAAAAAAATAATTCAAAAGATCAAAAAATATTTTAAAAAATTACAAAAACTGTGCACATCAGCATTAGCAATATCATATAGGACGACTAGCGTCCACGTCAGATTTTCCCATAAGGCAAATCACTAATGATACTTAACTGATCAATTTGAGGCGTTCCTAATGTTCTTATCCTGGACTTTTTTATCCTTGTTTCTCCCGTCCACTAGAGTAGTCTAAATTGGACTAGAGACTTCTATGTCAAAATATGAATCACCAATTTCAACAAAAATGTTGCTTAGAAAAGCATAAGTTAATAATCCATATTCAAATTGATTATTATATAATTGAATGAATTGCAACCCTCTTTGCGTGACGCTCTATCCTAATTAAACATACGGTCTATGGGAGAGATTAGTCAGATAAATCATCTTGGAGGTCTTAGTGCTGCCTTACTATGTGCGCTATCTTCTCTGCAAGTGAAGGAATTGCAAATGAAGGGCGTCTCTGGAAAAGGTGGAAGATGGCCATGAGGTCAGACATGTCATCCACCCACGAGAAAATATTGGGTGCCACTAGGGATTCCACCGTGGAGAAATAACAAGTCTGAGGTGGCAACACGTGTCCGAGGGGACCCACATGTCAGGAAGGCTCCACGCTCCCACGGCACAGAGCAGAGCTGAGAGCAGAGCAGCTGGGAGAAATTTTTTAAAAAATAGCCCTCTCTCTCCACACTCACTCTCTCTTTCGCACTCCCAATCGAATTCAAGATCTGGAATTCGCTCTGCGCTCCGTCTCCCTCACGCCGACGAGCGAGGTCCGTCTCCTCGCCCCGACGCCGACGCCGCCTCACTCCGACGATTTCTCTGTCTTGCAGTTCGAGCCACGAAGCTTGGAGCAGCAGGAGGGGACAAGGCCCATATCAACAAGTGGCGCTCCGGAGTTTGGAAACCAAGCTTCCGAGATAATTGGAGCGCGACTCACTCGTGAAGCATTATCTCGGAAGCTTCTTTGATACTTCTCAGTTTATGGTTGCTCTTTCCAACTTGTAAATCACATGTTCCGGGTGTGGGAGTTCCAACTTCTTTGACAAAATAGTTCCGGTGCTTGTCTCAAAACATTGTTTCTTTATTAATTGTGTTTTCTGAGCATTTGAAATGATTTGAAAGTGTCATTTTAATGCCTCTCCCTCTGAGGTGCATATTATCCCATCAAATAAAAGAAATATTTTTGTTAGTGTGTGAAAGATCGTAAGTTAGTATAGAGTAGATGTCTCGACATTCCTGTCAATAAGTCGGTACGGACTGAGCCGCCGATAACTAGTACTTATTTATACTTTCTTGGTGCCGAATGGATCGATATTTGCCCCTTAGCTTTCTGCTCACCTTGTGTTTGAAAAAATGCCTAAGCCAAATCTGTTGAGTGTTTGAGGTTTTGACGTTGCTAGATTGAATGGACCGAATGAATAGGGTAGTGCTAGCGTAACTCGATACATCACAATGAATGACGTGCTGTACTTTATCTGGTGGCTTCCGAATGAATGGTGTGCTGCGGCTAGAATTTGTTGTTGTGGGGAGGGGGGTGGCCAGATGTTCATTAAAATTCCCCAGAGAAAATTGAGTTGAATATCTCATCGGATAATCATCTTTTGTGAATGTGTACTAGAGATGATGACAGTATATTAGAGATGATGTGGAGAGGACCTTGAACGAGTGGACTAATTTTGTACCTGCACTGGTGTTGCATAGGGTCCTGCTTCATTCATGGTTAAACATAATTTGTGAGAGTGCTTTTCCTGCTTTATATTGGCGTGTGATGACGTACTGCTAGTTTGGTGCATCAACTAGACTCTATATCTAATTGTGAATCGCATTGAAACAAATTTTTTTTCCATTTGAGCAGTTCATGGTAGTTTTGTCCGGAGAATTCTGTGGTCTCCTAATGAAAATGCATCCTCACTTGAGTGCGTATGCTTGAAAAATTCCTTGTTTTACTTGGTCATCCATCAAAACACTTGGGTAAGAATAGTCCTCCTTACTTTTTTGGAATATGACTTCCACTTTTTAAATTAGGAAGTTGTTTTCCTTAGTTTTGAACTTGGCAGTATCGCATGAATTGTCACTCGCTGTTCAGTGTTTGAGCTCCTTAGAATGAATGGTAGTGCATCGCATTTTAGCCCCTTGCATTAAATCGATGTCACTTGCGAATCGATGTCACTTCATGCTGATTTTATCATGATGGCAATTTTTGCGGATACTGTCATCTCTAACTTTACATATATGACAGTGGCTTGCTCATGTACATAAATTTTCTATGGATGACAACCTCCATTTGAAAAAAAAAAAAAGCCCAGCTGTGTTGCATATATGTATCGTGCGTGCGTAGTTTCTACATTATAGTTTTGGATGTCTTTTCTGATAATGAACTCCAGATTCTAGTTTTCTGAGCATATACATGAGTATGGACATCCGTAACAATTGATATACATCTATTTCTCGTCTAGTAGGGTCATTACTGAACTTAAACCTGTTGGAATTATCTTTCAAGCTTGCTGGTTAGGACTGTTTTGGTGTCATTTTAATCCCAATTTGGTATCAATTTGGGTGCAAATTTATCGGATGGCTGAATCAGAGGTAATTATTTGCTCATACTATGTGAAATATATTTTTCTTAAACCACCACGTTAATAACTTTTTGTTCTTTTAGTTGCAGCATGAAACTTCCCATCTTGCACACGTAATGCGTGATATGGAAAAAAGATTATGAGTTTGCGATAGGAATGGTTTTTCCAAATGAACTTGAAGCATACGATAAGTATGTGGCCTATGCAATCGGCAAAGGATTTGGGGTGAGAAAGGGTAATATGTTCAAAAATGGTAAAGGAGAATTAACCCAACGAACTTTTGTGTGCCATTGTGAGGGGCATTCTGTCAGCTCATCTAATCAAGAAAAGAAATTTGAGACTCAGTTTGAAGTTAGATGTGACTGTCCTGCTCATGTCAAATTTAAGGTTAACAATGGTGTCTATGAAGCATATTTCTGAGCATAATCATGCATTTATTCCGGATGATCAAAAGCATTTGATTAGATGTGGAAGAATCATGTCTGATACTTCTAAGAGTGTCTTAGTTGACATGAGGAAAGCCGGCATTGGAGGGACTACAGCGTATAAGTTTTTAGCAAATGAAGCTGGAGGAAGCAAAAACTTGGGTTTTAACCTGCGTGATTGTCAAAATTATTTGCAAACGAAAAGATCCGATGGTATAAGTGGGGGAGATGATCAAAGTGTTCTAAATCATTTTCATCTCATGCAAATGCAAAATCCAATGTTTGCATATGCTGTATGGTTAGATCAAGATGGTAGATTGACAAATTTATTTTGGAGAGATAGCATGTCGAAATTTGATTATGATTGCTTTGGTAATGTGCTAGTGTTTGATACCACGTATCGTACCAAAAAATATAACATGATATGTGCACCATTTATTGGGATTAATCACCATTGGAAGAATGTTTTGTTTGGTTGTGCATTTTTGTTGGACGAGACTGCAGAATCATTTATATGGTTATTTGAGGCTTTTTTGAAGTCTATGGGAAATAAGGCTCCAAAAACCATATTCACTGATCAAGACCAAGCCATGGCAAAAGCCATTAGAACGGTGTTTCTGAATACATAACACCGTTTATGTACTTAGCACATCGGGAAAAATGCCAATCAAAACATCCCACATCTTTACCATAAGCCGGGTTTTAAGGAT